TTAATCTTATCTGTTCTCCCTTATAGGTTACTCTTTGTTTCTCCCTTGCTGCTTTCAGGATTCTCTCCTTATCCTTAGTTCTGGCAAATTTAACTATGATTCCTGATTTTAAACCATGCAGTGTTTCCTTGCTCTGTTGTCAATGTTAGCCATAATTTGTTGTGACTCCCACAGTCAAACACCCTTGCGTAGTAAACCAGGTGGATTAATGCAATGACTGTTGCAACGAGCTCTTGTGTTTCAGAAAGTGTATGGGTGGCACAGGACAAGACTAGGTTCAGAGATTTTGTTCATAGGGTAGCTTTGAGTTGTACTGAACTCAATGGCACCTAACAATAAAAACAACGTGTGTATGTGTGTATGTATGTACACACACACAGAGGTGTTGGGTTCAAAATACATATCTTTGCTTTGGCAGCTTGATTCCAGACTCTGGTGGCTTAGGGGTAAGGACTCATGCTGCCAACATATAGGCACATAGTTCAAACCAGTCAACTGCTCCTTAAGAGAAAGATGGGCATGTGATTTAATCCTCCCATGTGATTTAATGCCTCTTAAAATCCCCTGGAAGGTCAGTTTGAGTTAGCTCCAACTCAAAGGTACATAACAATAACAACATATATAATATTACAGAGAATGAACCTCTAAAAATTAATATGTTGTTTTTATGTGCCACTGAGTTGACTATGACTCATAGTGACTTTCTGCACAATAGCTCTGAACCCTTCTCTGTCCTAAGCCAGTCTCATTGTCTGACACTCAGATCCTTATTACCCCAATCACTGTGTCCAGTCCATCCCATCTGAGATCTTTCTCTCCTGTGCTGTACTTGCACATTTCCAAGCATGATGGCCTTCTCCAAGGACTGGTTCCTTCTGGCAACATGTGAGACAGAGCATCAAAATCCTTGTCTCCAAGGAGCAGCTTGGTTTCACCCTTTCTAGGACAGATCTGTTTGCTCTTTTGGCCCGTGGTATGTTCAGTACTCTTCTCCAGCACTATAATTCAAAGACATCATCTTTTGTCATTGTCCAGATCTCTGATGCAAAGATAGTAATTGTAAAGACCATGACCTGAATCAGGCACACCTTAATCTCTAGACTGACACCATTGTTCTTCAACATTCAGGAGAGGTTCCTGACTGCAATTTTCCTTCTTTTGATTTCCTGACTGCTGGTGCCAAGGCTATTGATTGTGGAGCCAAGCAAGCTGAAAGTATTAGCAATCTCAATCTCTTCTCCATATATTATAGTGCTGCCAATTGGCCCAGTGGTGAGAATCTTTGTTTTCTTGATGTTGAGCTTCAATCCATAAAGCAGACCTTCTACATGTTTCAGGCCCTCCTCAGTTTCAGCAAGCAAGGTTATGCCATCCATAACCCATAGGTTGCTGATGAGTCTTCCTCTGATCCTGATGCCACATTCATCCTCATAAAGCCCAGCGTCCCAAATGATCTTTTCTACATATAGATTGAGACAAAACACATCCCTGACACACTCCTTTCTTGATTTTGAACCATGCGGTTTTCTCACTCTGTTCTGATGACTGCCTCATTGTCTAAGTATAGGTTTCACAGAAGTACAATCAGGTGTTCTGGGACTTCCATTCCTTTCAAGGTTAGCCACAACTTGTGATCCACACTGTCAAACGCCTTTGCACAGTCAAAGAAACACAGATAGACATTCCTCTGGTACTCTATGCTCTTGGTCAAGATTCATCTGACATTGACAATGATGTCCCTAGTGCCACGACTTCTTCTAAACCCATATTTCTGGTGTTTAAATTTATTTTTGTAAGAATTAGTAAAGGATATGGACAGGAAAATTCAGAAGAAAATTTTAAAACTGACAATAAACATGTCAGAGCATAGCATGCTCATTCTCAAAGCAAAGTGTAATGACATGTCCCCCACCCCACTAGTCTAAGAATAGGCAGGATCTTGAAATGTCTGAAATATTGAGCTAAGTGAGTGAGATTAATGGGAGAATGGCTGGACAGGTGCAAAACTGACCATGTCTCTCTCCACAGGTGGCAAGGGTACGAAGGCTTTGTGGCTGTGCACAGCCTCCCAACATTTGGCTGTAGAGACTGGGAGGCCTTCAACACCACTGCTGGCTCCTACCTCATGTACTCCAGTGCCAAGGAGCCTCTGTCCAGGGTCCTGAAGCTGAGAATTGGGTGAAGAGTTGCAGGCCTTCCTGGGAAGGGGCCATGAGGCAGAAGAATGGGGCAGGACCCCACCTCATGCCCCAATACCTCTGTGCCCTGACTCTCCAAGAAGCCCAGGGACCTCTGGATGAGGGCTTCAGATGATGATTCTGTCTAGTCTGGGCAGATGGACTGTGAAGAGATGTTCCTCTGGACTGGGGAGTTTAGGCAGGTCCCAGCCCCAGCAGCTCCTGTTCAGTTGGTCTGTTCACCTTGGCAATCCTAGCCATGAGTTAGGCTGATTCAGGATCACCTCAACCCCAAGTGCCTCCTGTTTTAGGAGCATGAGCCCCAATAAGGCCACAGCCAGATGTCTGTGCTAACAAATAGGTGCCCTTTTTGTAATCCACATGTCCTAAAGGAGAAGTTAATATGAATTGTACCTCAGAAACAACAAGATGTGGGTTTGCTGATAACCCTGCCTCTTTCCATACCTGGACTCGGACACAGGTTTTGTTGCTCTGTTTTGCATACATAATACCAACTATTTATTGTGTCTTATTATACTGAAACATATTTATAATGCTGCTTACAGAACTCTGTCTTCATCTCCATTTCTTGGGGGAACTTTTGGTGACTCATAACAGGAGCTTCAAACATACCCCTAATAGGGGAGCTCACATCGTCTCATCAGCAATGATAGATGAACGGATTCAAATTCCACTTCTGAATCCAATGCCATCTAGCCACTTCCCTGACAATGAATGGAAGGATCAGGTCCAATCTTTAATTAATTCCATTCAGCCTCAGTTCAGTTCTCCATACAACACTTTTTCCTCTGACTCAGACTCCCCCATGTTAGGTCAAGACCCACTTATCAAAGGGTCCTCCTTTAGATCCCCCACAGGCCTGAGACCACAGGAACCAGCTCCAGGATCTTCTCATTCATAATTTCCTGGTTGTAACTCTGGTGGGTTTTTCTACCCCCTCTGGATCCATATCATATGCACAGAGACTCTTCACTGCTCTCTCATTACTCTCTCCAGTTCAGTAATTTGCTAGAATGGCTCACACAACTCTGCAAAGTGCTATAGTTGTAATTACAGTTGGATTACAGCAAAAAGGATGCAAATGAAAAAGCCTGTGTGGTGAGATCTGGGCTTCCAGTGAAGAGCTTCCATGTTTCAAAAAGAAACACACTGCTTTCCCACATCCACTGATGTCCTTACTAATACAGAAGCCCCTGGGGTTTCCGTGTCCAGAGTCCACAGAGTCAGAACTGATCCATAGCTGACCCTCCAGCAGGTTTTCAGGGCAGTTAATTGCACAGGAGGAGATTGCCCATCCTTCTCCCACAGAGCAACTGGTGGGATTAGAACCACGTGCCTTCATGATTACAGTACAGCTCTTTGCCATGAGGCCACCAGAGCTCCCTTTACTGGGGTCTCATTATACAGGCATCATTGACTAGATCAGTCACCCTCCAGCAGGATGAATTGATATTACATGGAAGGTCTTTCTAGCCTGCCATTCACCAGCCAAGAGAGACCTCATTAGCATAATATTATTTAATCACTTTATCAAGGATACTTCAATCACTGAGAAATTTTAAGGATTTGGAAATTGTCTTTCACGGAAAAGAAAATTTTCTAGGCAAAGTTGATTTTCAATTCCACCATGGCACTCCTGTCTTTGCATGCAGTTTCATCTCTCTGATACTTACACCAAGATCAAGTCAGAAACCCCAAGCCGGTGGCATAATAACCCTATCATGAGAGGTCTCACTGGGCCATGGTGGGGACATGCCATCTGTTCTCAGACTACTGCCCTTGGAGCATGACCCAGTCACTGAAGTTGGCCTCACAGCACCTTTCAGGATGATGAGGTCACTTTTTTCTTGTGCTCATTAAGCTCTCTCCATCTCGGTGTCCTGACCTACAGCTGCTGTGACCACAGTGGAATGATAGGCCTCCTGCATTGAGTGAGGTGGGGCTGGGATCCACAGACATGTCTGCTATTCAGAAACTTGGCAGAGGAGGATGCCAGGCAGACCTGTAGAGTAAAAGAGGAAGGACCATGGAACTCACTAGACCTATGAGATTATGGGGTTCATGAACTCTCAAGCCTCAGTATCTAGTGAATGAGAAACTGAGGTCCAGAGAGTGGAGGGGCCTTGAATGAGAGCGAGGGAAGCTTATTCCATGTGTCTGTGCTTTGTCTGTTCTAAGAAGAGTTCACCATCCTAGAGACCAATGGGCCTAAGGGGGACTAAAGGGGAAAACTCAGAGGCAGACAAGCTCTGCCGCCACACTGAGCCCTGTACACAAGAGAGCCTCTGGTCAGAAATATGCTGCGCCCAGGTAGGCACAAGCTTGATGTAACACTCCGCAGCTACCACTTTGAAAGTCTTCACTGTCTTTGAACAAGGACTGGGGAAACTCACTTTGCCCTGTGCTGTGCACTGCACATGATGCAGGTACCCTGCTTTTAGGGATGGATACAAGCCCAGGCAGCATGCAGGAGAGAAAGTGTCTGGAGTCGGCTTCTCCGTTCACCTTCTTCATCTACTGCTGTTGGAACAGAAATACCACGAGCAGAATGTTTTATTGGAAGCAGGAATGGCATCCACTTCTTAAACAACATGCCTCCAGAACCCCTATGAACCTTGATAAAAGTCGATAGTTGTAGAGGGACTTTAGGCCTTTTGTTCACAGGGTCACTATGAGTCATGCTTGACTCAAGGGCAATCAATAACAACAACAAGAGATGGTTTAAAAAACAGAAATGTATTCTCTCATCATTTAGGAGGTTTATTGTGATTATGTGCCAGTGAGTCAGATCCAACTCATAGTGGCCTGACAAACAGCAGTCCTGTGTCATTGTTGACAATGACAGTGGTGTTTGAGCCCATTGTTGCAGCCACTATCCCAATCCATCCCACGGAGGGATTTCCTCCCCATCCTTCTCCATCACCAAATCTTTCTGCAGGGTCTGGGTGTAGCAGTGAGGTCTCACATCTCCATGCCTGAGGAGCATTCTGGCTGTGTTTCTTCCAAGGCAGTTTGTTTACTCTTTTGGAAGTTCCTTGTCTAGTCAATATTCTTTCCCAGCACCACAATCCAAAAGTCTCAATTCTTCAGTCTTCCTTATTTGATGTGCAACTTCACATGATCTTAACACATCTATCACATGAAGGGCACACTGACTGATCTTAGCACATTTTATAGAAACCTGGGCAAGTAATGTGCATGGCAAGTAATAGCATGTACTGAGTAATATGTAAGGTCACCAACCTAAGTGTCAGCAGTTTTAATCTGCTCCATGGAAGAAAAATGAAGATTTACAACTTTAGAAATTCAACAGGGGCCCACTGTGCATTGGTCTTGACAACACAAAATAGAGAATAATTAATTGCATCAAGGGGAAAAATTACATAAGGTCACAACATGGAAGACAACCACACAACACTGGCCGAGGCAAGTTGAAGCATAATTTGCAGGACACAGCTCAAGCCATGGCACTTGTTCAGTGGGTTCACTTGAAACAAATTCTGAAGTAGGGTGTTATCCTAGGGTTAGTGTGTCTTGCTGGCCTGAAGGGAGTCTTTACGATCCATTACCAGGATCCACATCTCTATCATTATTTTCTTATCTGTTTAGAAAAAGGGGTCTTTTAAGTTCTATTTGCTAGTTTACTAAGTCTTTCCAGGATGCTGAATTTGAGTTACTCAGGAACCCGTGAGAAGAAAGCTGTGAGTCCAATGAAAAACACTCTGGGGTCAGACAGAGCAGGTCCCACTTCCATTCTCTCTGGATTCAATGTCCATCTTACCTTGGTCATCTCCTTTCCCTTAACTGAGAGCCTCAGCTTCCTCATTTACATAGCAGGGCTCCAAATCTGCTCACTGAAATTGAGGACCTGAAGCGTTCACTGCAGAAGATCTTCAATATGGATTGAATCTTAATGTCAAGAAGACAGAGATTCTCACTAATAGGTCAATTGGCAGCACCATGATAGATGGAAAAGAGATTGAGCTTGTTAACAATTTCAATCTGCTCTGCCCCACAATCAACACTCTTGGCACCAGCAGTCAGGAAATCAAAAGACAAATTGCATTGTGGAAGTCTGCTTTTAGGGACTGCTCATGTGTGCTGAGGAGCAGTGATGTCAGTCTGGAGACTAAGGTGTGCCTGATCCAAGCTATGGTCTTTGCAATTACATACTATGTATCAATTACATACTATGCATCAGAGAGCTAGACAATGAGTAAGGATGATGAAGGATGATGAAAAGAAGAATTGATGCCTGGTGAAGGGTATTTAACATGTCATGGGCCAAGAGAACACATTGATCTGTCTTATAGAGAGTGAAACCAAGTTTCTCCTGGGAGGCAAGGATTTTGAAGCTCCATCTCTCATACTTTGAACATGTGGCCAGGAGAGACCAGTCTTTGGAGTAGGATATCATGTTTGGAAGGGTAGAGGGACAGCACAGGATTGGAAGACCCTGGATGAAATGGATTGAGACGATAACTGGGGCAATGGGATTAGGTGTGTTGGAGTCAGTAAGACTGGCTCAGGATAGAGCAGGGTTCAGAGCTGTTGTACATAGGGTCACTATTAATCACAGGTGTCTCAATAGCATATAACAACAAAAATAGATCAGTCATATTTAAAAGTTAAAGGGAAATACTAGATGAAGTAACCTTTACGTATACAGACTACCATGACTGTAGTTGTTGGCTGCTGTCCAGTGAGCTTCTGACTTGCCGCTGCCCCAAGCAGGACAGAAAAATGCTTTTGGATTCTGTGCCGTCCCCATGATTAACTATGCACTGAACTGTAGTAATCCTTCGTGTTTTTGCTGGCTCATTTTAAGATGTAAATCACACAGTGGTTCTCAGTTTGTCTTAGTCTGGAAACTCCAATGAAACATGTTGAGTATCTTAGAAATATGCACTTTCATTTACAGAGGGGCGGTGACTGCATTGGTCAGAAACTGCACTCAGATATACTACATGGAAGGTCAGAATTC